TTTTACCTAAAAACGTATAGAATTACGGTGATTAAAATGAAAATAAAAAAGGTTCCGAATAACAAACGAAATAATAATGTCACTGCATACTGCATTATTACGGCTAAACTTTAATTTTAACTAACCTTCGTTAAGAGTCGACATTACCTCAGCTCGAATTCATAGTTGCTTTATTTCAGAATTGATTTTTTTACAAATGAAATTAAATTCGTTTGAAAAATGTACATCGTATACTACATGTCTTCTATTTAGTTCAGTTGATATAAAAAAAGTTGGTATATGTAAAGTACTTATTGAAAATTTCGATTATATTGATGGTCCTTTACAGGTCCCATGGTCAACCGTGACCATGGGACCTGTAAAGGGCCCGAAACGTCGGTTTGTTTGAAAAAACAAATATACGCGATTTAAATCCGGAAAAATAGTTTCATTTCCTATACATTGATTAGATTATACTGCTTGACGGGAGAAATAGGTAAGTTGGCAGTACTTCCCCAGACGCAATCTTTCACAACGAGCTCTACTACTGCTTAAAGCCCTAATCTTAATACCTATGCGGACCACTGCAGAACACTGGTTTCCTCTGAGGAGTCGGATTTTATAACGTAGGTAGTCCAAGTTTCAACATAACGTATTCCTTCGCCATTGTTACAGTGTTAATGTAGTAACCTAAATTACGTGTGATTTGAAAAAGAAGGTTCCTTGATGGGAATCAAACTCCAGACCTTTCACTTTATGCGTTCTGGTTACTAAGCTATATCTCTGCTCGTAACGATTGAACAATGACGACGTTCATAACAATTCAAAATGGTATTTAACCTTAGAAATAGTAAAATAACATTGTTTTTTAATCGGCTATATGACTTTAGTAGACAATGAGTGCAGTGGATTTTGTAACCATGGTATAATTAAGACATATCACTGCCGTTACAATAGTGTTGTAAAGCAAAATATGTAAAATTCAATATTATAATAAAACCATTGTTAGAATATTGTAAGAAAAAATTAAAAGATATCAACTTAACTCAAATCAAGACAAATATTTGTGAAGTAGTTCTGGATAAGACTTACTCAAAAATAAGAAATTGTTTTTTCACTTTTATTTTTAAACATTTATATTTGGCAAGTAGGAAATTGTTTAAATGTCTGTAATAAACTTGAACCTATTTCTACATTTTAATCATCTTTAAAAATACACTTTTTGAGTTAATACACTATTTTATTAAAAGTGCAATGTGTGATCGTAGGTCAAAAATTCTTTTATCACAATCATAAATCATACAAAGTAAATGAAACAAATTGTGTAGGCATATGTGAAATTTAAAAACTCTATTATTTAAGCATAAAAAGGTCATTGCCTATTTAATAATAAATGTTTATTGAATCAATACAATGTAATAGTATATTGAAATTAAGTGACATACGCTGTGACAGTAGCGTACGAGGAACATTTTACGAAAAGGAAAGTCTAGCGCCGGAATTGGTTTTAATTAAAATTGCGTCTTCCACTGGATTTAATTTACAAACATAATGCCAAACACTATAAAAGATACACAGATAAAAGATACATAGATAAAAGAAACATGATAAAAGAATACAAGCAAAAGTATGACAGAGAAATAACAATAATAATTACGTTAATAGCATATTTAAAATTTTCTCCTGAAAAGTTGTCATACTGCATACGTGGCCACATCACATTATTCCACCATAAGTGCTAATGTACTATTTTGAATTTAGTGAATAGAGTAAGCAAATAGAGTTATAAGTCAGTAAATGGAGTTATAATCTCGTCCTCGGCTCTTAACGGCCAATAGGCATCGTTTACGCCATAAGATGAGAAGTGAATGCAGATGGAAGGCTCGTTGCCTCGCCTGTCGCAAGCGCAGACGCCCCGAGCGCCAATGTCGGGCATTTTCTTACGTGAAAACATAGTCTATAGAGCTAAATTTCTAGTGAACGTCGATACTTGGTGATAACGTATTGCTTATTACCTTTTAGAGGTACTAAACACAATCTCGGATGCCTTTATGAAGCATTTGATTCCGTTCAAATATTTAAAAGTTTTAATTTTAAAAAAACCGATTTCAAAAGTTTGTTTGTTTTCGATGTGTTTTATTTTAATTGGATTTACATCTATGTGCCAACTTGTAATTGAAATCGGAAAGTACGTGAAATTCAATAAACCGATTCCATCCCATAATTTGCCACCCTTAGAGACGTGATATTTTCTACAAATTTGAAGGAAATCACTGCTGAGGTACCCCCTGTCCACCAAAAAAATAATCATCGAAATCAATTGTCAGATCAACAAATCAACAAATGTCAGAATAATCGCGTAACTTCAAAGTATACAGACGAATAGTGAATGTACTCCTTTGTTTAAATCGGTTAAAAAATAAAGGCAACTTTGCTTACCACTACGTTTTTTTTGAATAAATCCTGTTGTAAACGTATATAAAAGTACAATCTATTTACCAACAAAGACACATGGTTCCTTTTCAAAAAACTTATAAATAGAAATGTAATCCACTGGCAAAGCTGCAATATTTTATAGATAAATTTGTTTAAGGGTCCATAAATTTTTGACACATTGTATAATTTTAATAGATTGCCACAAAAAACAAATATGATTAATTTATATAATTACGCGTATAAGTTCATGGTGATTGTAACTACGTGATATCTTACAAAATCTTGTGTGAAAGTGCGCTGCGCACGCGCCTGCCTGCGATCTGGGACGGCTAGTGATGGATGCGACGGCGACGTGTTATTAAATTGAGTTTGCTAATGAACGGTTGTTATTTTTATTGCGCTCTATTTGTTGTTAACTATTTGCATTGTGCGTCTTGAAGGAACCTATCTTTGAAGATATGTTGGGTTCCGTCCTTCCTTATGCTATGGTGTCTACTCTTGTTTTCCGGTCGGCATCCGCCCAAAACAGTAATTGTCAAATGCTTATTTGACAATAACTACTCGGCGAAATTAAAAGACTGTATAAAGTATGAAGATTCACTTGCGTCATGCGTCTCTTAATTTAGTCGAGTGATCGAATATATAACCAGAAATAGAGACGAAATAAGGGTCATACATTCCTGGTAACTCATCCGCGATACATCACTTATAAATATCAACTCTCGTTTGCACTGAAATATAGACAGCGCCAACAATTGACCTTTGTGAACGTCTCCGTAAATTCCAAAAATATTCTGTATTTATTTTAATAAAGATAATATCTGTAACAATGGTGTGCTGTTCTATTCGGTGGTGTTGGGAAAAACAGCAAAACATCTAATTAAATATGTAATTTTACAATTTTCGTCCATTATAGCAAAGCTCAATTTAACTGGTTGATTTGAAGTCAAACAATTGACGACACCCGTCAGTTGTTTCGAATTCGGGCCGACCAATCGGAGCGCAGTTGTCACAGTAATGACATGATAGAATTGTTTTCAAACCAATTACATGACATTTCGTCTGTATTTCTGGTTATATACTCGATGGGTCAAGTATTATTTATTGGATAGGTAATCATTGTTTCGGTCTGAGAACGATAATACAAGGCCAGCAGTGAGGTCAGTACAAATACCAAAGAACTTGTATTAGATATTCCCTTATACTTACTGCAAAACGTTGACAAACGTAGCATGGTGTTGGTGCTGCTAAGTGGAGCTTAAACTAAGTCTGTAACAAACAAAAACCATGTTTAAAAATTACGTACTCACACAGAAGTACTATACAGGGTTATTTGTAACATACTGACAACCTCTCAGGACTATATTACTAGCATCATAAACAATAATTTTTTGACGATTTTTGAAGTAGGTTAAAAATAAGGACATATGTGTGCACTGCCGCCCTTAGTTGAAAGGGCGCTTGTGATAAAACTCAAATTCGAGAAAATAATATTTAAAGAAATTAAATTAAAAAATACCCAGGAAATGAAACTATTTTTTTTCCGAAATTGAATCGCGTATATTTGTTTCTTCAAACAAACCGATGTTTCCAGCTCTTTACAGGTCCCATAGTCACGGTTGACTTAGGTGATACGCCAGTTATGTCTAATATTTATGCTAACCACCTTATTTTTTCACTATAGTTACAAAAGTGATTAATTAAATACCTTATTTTTAATTTTACAAAGAAACATTCCAATTTAAGCTACATTACGTTTCACAAATTATTTTATAGAATGAATTTTTATTAATTAAATCCCAAACAGACGTAAGACTGCAGTACTAATTAATATGTTTTAATTTATTCTAATTTCTATTATTAATTAATAATACATTGAACTTAATAAAAATTCATTCATTAAAATAATTTGTGAAACGTAATGTAGCGTAAATTGGAATGTTTCTGTGTAAAATTAAAAATAAGGGTTTTATTTAATCACTTTTGTAAGTATAGTGAAAAAATAGGGTGGTTTGCATTAATATTAGACATAACTGGTTGATGACTGTACCACCTCAGTAAACCGTGGCCATGGGACCTGTAAAGGGCCCGAAATAGCGATGAAAGAGATTCAGTCTTTTAAGGCGTTTTATAACGACTCGACTCGATTTTAAAGGACTCGACTCTAAAAATTAAGACTGGAGGTTCGAGTTTTTATTAATAAGACTCAGTCGTTATACTTAAAGACTTAAACGACTTATACGACTTAAACGACTTGCACGAGTTGTTTGCAATGGATTTATATCTATTTTATGTCTTCTTATACTCGAAGTTTATAAATAAACATGACGTAGTATGTAGTAAATAATCACGTTTATTTACTTATAATAAAAATTAGGATTCAAAGAGTGGTTTAAGCAATAGGTACGAGATTTTAAGACCTAATTATATAATGATTGCATACATTACTTTTTCTGCTAGTAAATCAAAATAATGAAATACAACCAACCAATATTTAAAAGTCTATGGAAATCCAGTTATAACGTGCTCTTTTTTTATTTTGTGCAATATTTGTCTGTAACCACTTTTCTTATTATGAAGTCCTGGTACTTTTATTTAAACTTCTTTAGAAACCCGTGCACAGTAGTGAGATACAATTTATCTGTAATACATAGAACAAACATATACATAAAAATCTAGCCTGTCACCCGTTCAGGGGTAGGCAGAGACTGTGGACCTCCATTTAATACGTTCATAAATAGTAGGTATGTTTCATTCATCATTATGGTCAAACTACAGTATCAGACACTAAAATTTGATAAAATTCTTTGACTGTTGGGTTCTGTATCCATTCATTTTTATATTAAAGAAACAAATAATTCCCAAAAAAACAAATTCTTCAATTGGTTATAAATAACTGGCTTCTGTGAACAAAGCTACGTTAACGTTATCCATCAATCGTAAAATAAATATCTTGTGGATAGAAATGAAATCACGCAATACGGCTCGTGACTCGCGAGTCCCGAGGCTATAAGGCGCCAGTCGTTTTAGTCGTTTTAGTCCTATAAGTCTTTTAAGCTTTCTAGGGTTAAAAGACTTCGACTCGAATTAGTCTTCAGTTTTAGTCTTATGACTCAAGACTTGAGGGTTAAAAGACTAGACTAGTCGTGAGGCGTTTAAAATTTGTCAAGGTTTTTTAAAAGGCCTTAAATGATTGAGTCTCTTTCATCACTAGCTCGAAACGTCGGTTTGTTTGAAAAATTAATATACGCGAATCAAATCCGGAATAAAAATAGTTCCATTTCCTTTGGTGTAACAATCATGAAAACGTAAGAACTCGATAAAAAATATCTATTTTTCTCTTGCGGTAACTTCATGCCTTACCCACCTACGAAAAAATAAAAATAGTGACAGATCAGCCTCTTTTATTGATCATATTACATACGTGACAATTTTTTTTAAATCACAGTCTCTCTATTTCAACTAAAACGGCGGCAGAATAATCATACGTATCGGAAATGTTGAATTTCTATTGCTTACCAAACTTGTACCCAAGAAAATATTCTACGAGTGATAAAGATAAAGGTAAATTTGTATCATAGTAACTTTTAGTAGCAATAGAGACCACCACCTTACCTATTTCTGCCGCCAACTGGTAATGTCAGCATTACTGTGTTCCGGTTTTGAAGGGTAATAAGGGTACTGGTGAAATTACAGGCACATAGGACATCAACTTATGCCTCTGATAGTACGCAGTGAGACTGCTACGTACGACAGGCGTATTATAATAATGAGTATTGTATCACAATAAAAATGAACCATAATCATCAGTTGTAAAAATAATAACAAGACGTCTGAAAAGGCGTCTAGTAGAACGTTGCGTGTGGAAGCCCACATTTATATGGCGAACGACTATGGAGTGGAATTCCCTGCCCGCAGCCTTGTTCCCTGAGCGATATAACTTGGACCTTTTCAAAGCGAGAGTGAATAGGCATTATTTAGATGTGCATGCTCCATCCTCGACCTCATCGTCACGTTCCATCAGGTGAGATGGAGGTCAAATGCACACTTACATTGGAATATAAATAAAAAATTACAAAAAATTTCACCAGCACCCTTACCCTTCAAAACGGGAACGCAGTAATGCTAACATTACTGCTTTGCGGCAGAAATAGGGAAGGTGGAGGTACTTCCCTGGACGAACTCTTTCTCTAGGAGCTCCATTGCTACAATTAGGTTCTGTTATTGTATACTAGTACTTGAAAATACATTAATTTTTACAATACAACAATTCGTTTTTATAATATCATTGTGAGATAACTTCAAGCACACCTTCTGTATTGTGATAAGTCTTATTCTTATGCAAAGATTTGACGGTCGTTTTACATCGAGACTCATTAAAAACTGTGATTTATTAAGGACTGTGAACAAGAGCGTAAACGTTTTGTTTAATTGTTTCATAACACCACCATCTCAATATGCAGTACGTGCACTCGGCTGAATTTTCTCAATACTTACGCCTCATGTTGTGCCACTCCTTTACAGAAGCTATGCGGGTAATTAGTTTCCAAAGAGCACTACTATTATAATGTATTCGAATGTGCGTCTGTCCACATGACGTGTTACGCTGTGAATAGTATATCGAGTGCCGCAGGACAATATTTCCATAGCAAAACTGTCTTCAAATGTCAGGAACTGTGAAAGCGTGACTAAGGCATTACTTGGGGCTATTGGGAAGAGCTCTACTATAAGATCTCGTGTTGTTGTCGAAAGTTAGACATTTCTACTTGTATTTTGACTCAGCCGAAGAACAGAGACCGTTGTTTGTTGTTGTTTGTGATTATATAGCGAAAAGAGAATAGGCACATCACGAGAATAATTTCGTTATTCAAACTAAGGCCCATCTAAAGGTGTTTTGAGAGTTTATCTACCTTATTTCGTTTCGGAAACATAAAATCAAACAACAGTCGATCTGACATCCACAGTGAAGAAGAACGAACGAAATGTACTGTGTCCTGAGAAAAAGTAGTCTTGCACATAGATCTTTGTGCTACGGATGAGTCTATTTAGAATAAACGTTCTATCTATCTATACCATAGTTTCCCAAAGTGGTAGTGGTGGTGGAAAAAGAACTACACTATATTTTTTTTTCTTGCGATTTTTAAAGTTGATATAAAAATACGTGTTTTCATTTTATTTTGTGATGGTGGGCGTTAAAATTTTTTATCTTGCCTAAGTGAGCGGTGAACCAATAAGTTTGGGAACCTACGATCTATTGTGATCTACACAAAGATCGAACGACTTTACTTTACTTTGAAATTTTGATTCACTTTAAACATTGACCTATATTTTAAAACACATAATGTTTCTTGATTTTAAAAATGATAACTTGTCTATACTTAACAATAAAATTAATTGCTTTGGGAAATATTCTCCCAAGAGATTATCAGTGAATCGGATCTATTTGGTAAAAACACTTTGTACGTAGAAAAAAACGTCCTTCTCGCATTTTCGTAAACAATGAAAGCGGAATTCAATTATAGCGTCTCCGATTAGTATCTTCTTTGGATGTCGAAAAGCGAACGAGTTCCCATGGTAACCTCAACCCATTGTAGTCGACGGAAAATAGGTAATATGTTTTACATGTCTTGATATTTTCAGCAAGGACAATGAATTATACATTTTATTGAGGACAGAAAAGACAAAGGACATATCCTACCACACTTCTAAAAAGTTCTTACACGCCCAGCACTAATAAAAGTCACGAAAAATTTACCCGATGCGGACATAGTTTTAAAATCTACTGTCTTATTAGAGAAGGCAAATTCTTTAAGCCTAAAGTCAGCTAATTTACTTGAAGCCACTGGATATTGTAATTCCATTGAGACTTTTCTATCGGATACATTTCGGGGAGCGTGCGCAGGAACTTTTCAATTTAGTTCCACCCTCACCGTTCCTCCTTCGGTCGACTAGAAGGTCCGGAACACTCCATCCTTATGTCGTTGATATACCACCAATTCGCACTAAGCGTTTTGCATTCTCCTTTCTGATGTCTGCGGTAAAGGAACGGAATACTCTGTGTTTCCCGAAACGTATAATTTGGGGCTGTTCAAGTCTGGAGTGAATAGGCATTTTTTAGGCAAACGCGTTCCATCGTTGTTTAACATCAGGTGAGATTGTGGCCAAGCGTGTGTCTATTATATATTAAAAAAGATCACTAAGATTATATTGCATTTATGGTTATTCTGCTATTATTATTATTCATTCAATCACTAACGATCGATATTGCCTTACTAAAACTACCATGGAAATTACTACGCATATCTTAATTATTTATCTCGTTAAATCAGCACTGTAGTCTTCAAATTAAATGTATGACGATGCGACCTCCTTTATCGTCATCCCGCCTTTTTATCACCTTTGCTCTGGTTCCTGGCCACTTATTTTCAAATTTTGAATCGTTCTTCAATTCCTTTGCCTCGTCATACTTATTTTGTTTCAGCGAGCACTCCTGCTCGTATTCACCGTTAATTTTGATCCGTTTACCACTTACCGATTTAAATCAAATAACCTACCTAATATCTTTAAAATCAAGTAACCTAATTAATATTTGTAATAAATACGGCCCTTTCGGGGTAAGTTCTTTACTGTCTCACACATGTTTCGTAGTATTTAGGTAGGGACTGTTTTTTAATATTGTACCTACCTGTTTTTTTATACTATTTTTATTGTTACAGCCTTAGCGTTTCACCCTTTACTTTGCACAATATATTTATGTGGACCGAGTAATATATTATTATTCGCTGTTTACAACCTTTTCAAATATATATTTTTTATGTCAACTAATTAGCAAATTACACAATTGATGTGCAACTGACTCAACATTGAAAAGAATACCAAAAAAATTCAATGGCAGTTGAATAGTAGCTCGTCGACAAGCCGCTATTCTTAATTTTTAGCAGAGACCTATCAAACGTACAAAATAATATATGTGATATCTAGATACGCGAGATGTTGATATGTCGGCATAATAAACAAGCTAGGCCGAAGCTACGACGCCATGTAAGATGTAAGTTTACCAAGTAATCAGCAAACCGCTGAGCCTACCGCACCAATTTTTACGAATTTGTGGTGCAATGGAATATGAACCTTTGACCCTGCCAAAGCGCCTCAACCACTAGACATATTGAAATTTTAATGCGTTCACTTGTATTTTTTCTTTATTCCAAACGATTTACATACCTAATTATGTTGATATATGGGTGCAATTGGAGTAGAGGCAAATAAGTACCACATAATAGCCCAAAGCATTTAGTATAGACTATAGTATAGAATATAGCTGGGCTAGGATGCCACGGTACTCGTATTATGTGCCTACAGCTTAATTTAATTATTCTGCCTCTGTGGCTGAACGGTTACCATACTGGACTGCCATACAAGAGGTCCCGGGTTCGATTCCCGTGCCGGGAGAAATATTTGTATGGCCTACATTTATTTCTCTAGTTTGGGTGTAATTTGAATAGAATAGAATAGACATTTATTGTAATGCCACAACACACAGATACAAAAAAATAATTGATAACACAGACAAGCAAAACAAAATATAAAGAATCAACCCTTTCATACCTATTATATTATATAATATACTAGGGGGGAAATCGTTCCATAATCAAATCAATAAAGCAATTTTCCTTACTTTTTTCACACCTGTTTTTTTTTTACTTTAAACGAAGAGTGTGAAGTAACCATAAAACGTTAGTGCTTTTCTTCAAGTACCTTAATACACAGGTAAATTGAATAGGTAGGTAATACTAAAACAATGTCAAAACGCTTTGTCTAGATGTTATCTTCCAGTGGGTGAGTGAGTGTGATTGCATTGACATAAACCACCGGCATTGTTCCGGCTGCGAAATATTACTGAACTAGAGCTAATTAACGTCTGTGATTAGATAGAAAAAGATGACCTTAGCAGTAAACATTAAATACGTTAAATTTTATGAATGCGCTAGCTTCAGATGGAAATAATTAAAACGTTAATTTTTAATGTCTCCAGTCTATGTCTGAGAAAGCACGAGTGGCGGTACGTAATGCTGTGTTGATTCCAACGCTAATGTATGGGAGTGAGTGCTGGGTGCGGCAGAAGAAGTATGAGAGTAGAATGGACGCAGTTGAAATGAGATAACTCAAAAGAATATGTGGTGTGCGTCTGTGTGACAGAGTGAAGATGCTGTGATCCGTGAAAAATGTGGTTTGAAAGAGGATGTAGTGACGAAAATAGACAAGGGTATGCTGAGGTGGTTTGGGCAAATGGAACGGATGAATGAATGTAGATTAACGAAAGAAATATGCATACAGAGTTACATTCTCTGATCAAATTGAGATTGTTCTTAAAAAGGCTGGAGTTCGTGGTGAAAAAAATAAGAGGGGAGATGTATGAAAAGATTGATGAATGTAAACGAAGCAAGAGAGGTTTGTAAGAATCGTCTCTCTCTGCCTACCCCAATGGGAATTTAAGGGCGTGATTATATAAATAAATAAAAAATTAATGTTTAATTGGTTCATTATTTATTAATTACACCCGGTATCGCGGGTGCCATGGACACACACATAGACAGCCAGAAATTACACCCAAACTGACGAGAGAAATAAATGTAGGCCATACAAATATTTCTCCCTGCCCGGGAATCGAACCCAGGGACCTCTGCTTGACAGTCCAGCATGGTAACCGTTCGGCTACTGAGGCAGTTCTTTTTTATATACAATTTTCTAATAGCAATTTTCGAAAATCTTTGAATGCAGTATTATTTCTACTTAAAAATAAAGGAATGTTCCCTTTAAGTAAAAATTTCTATCTCCAGCATTTAACGTACTTTCCTTCCAAGTGGCATTACAAATTTCCACCCTGTATAGTGACTTTCTGTAATTGGCTTTTGTACTGCGTGTATGACATTTGTAAAGAAACGTTGTTTTTTTTTGTTGATTAAATGAAAAAAAAAAAATTATAATTTCCGATAATTTTTTACATGTTGCGTATATATTCATTTGTTCGAGATTAAATTAATTCTTATCATTATGGTTAAGAAAGTAAGTCATACGAATTCTAGCAAAATGAGTTACTTATTGTTTTTAGTATACATATTTTGCCAACGTGAAATAGATCTGAATTGTCTCCTAGAACAATGAATTTTTCAATAGTTAGGCATTTTAAATTTATATCCAAAATATAAGCTACTTTTATTTATAAGATAGCATTGTAAAGAGGGAAATAAAGATTATTATTATCTACTCTTCCAACTTTGGGTTGGCTACATGTGGAAAATTGTTGAGTTGACTTCTTTTGTCTTTTTTTTGTAACACAACACGAACTAAAATTTTCAGCTGTATTAATTAATATATAATATAAACAATATTGAAAAATATTTTTTTTTAAATATTTTTGAAAATGATGACCCTCTCAGGCTCTGTCTGCATATGAATTGATTCACATATTTTAGAGGATATATTTTATTCATTTCTCATTTTTCTTATACGCTTATTTACATAAGCGTATAAGAATAATGAGAATGGCAATGGCAAATGCATTCTCAGTAAATAGAGAATTAATAATATTTACGGCTATAATTTTACTTACTGAACTGTTTTAAATAAGTTTTTGAAGTGTTTAAGAATTGTTAATTAATAAAATTAGCTCGAATATTAATTTTACTCAATAGATATTCCTTTTTAAATAACATATCTACGTACTTCACTTATTTTGATATCTATAATTGTTTTGTAGAAAATTCTATGTAAAAAATATGATAAATAAATTCGCTGAAGCGGCTCGGGGCGGGCGAGTGTAAACGAAAATTTACCGCCATTTTTTGTATCATTGCACAAATTACTTATTTATAACTTATTAGTATGTTTAATGTTTAATTAACTAATCATTTAAATTGTTTTTGGGTAAACGAATATTCAATACCACTCATCTTAAATATAACATATAGTTTTAACCACTTTTTACGATCCTTATTATAAACACTTAATCTTTTTTAATATCGCGTTGAAAAATAAACTCACCGTCTGCGTACGAAGCGCTAGTGCGTCGCGTCGGCGCGGACTGTAGTGCGCAACGCACGCGCAGGCTTTTATCACTGTCACCATGGGACCACCACCGCTAGCGAAGGGATGCTCGCGGCTTCCACTGCAAAATTATGAATGTAACCAATTTTGCAAAACATGTGGGTCACTTTAGGTCTAAAGTTGCGGTTGAGAAGCTTTAAGTGTTTATAATACAAAAGCGTTTGAGCTTTAAAATAAAGTGTCAATCTGTACGCAGCTTGTGACCGCAAAATGTTTGTTTACACTTGTGGGTTTTAGTAACTTTGCCAATATATCGCCGCACTGTAGACCGCAAATTCTGCTCTACTGATTTTAATGTAGGTGAGTATAGGGATGCACGATTTTTGTGTTTGAATCGATTTTAGTGCATCACATGCATCTAAATCGATTTACAGATCGGAACATGTGTTTTGGATCGATCTCATAAAAAAATTTCAAAATTAATTTTGTTTAAAAAACAACAATATTGATAGCCTTTTCGGCTTCAGTCGGCTAAAACTTTCATTTAGAATGGTATTAGCCGATGAGAAAAGACGTTCAGATGGCACAAGCGTAGCGATAATCACTAAATATTGAAGACTTATTGTACTTAGATTTCGCCAAACTACTTTTCTTGCATACCAATTTACGATTCAGTCGAGATTCAGAAAGACTGTTTTGTTTAAATTATGAATGCGAGCAAGACGATTTGATTCACCTTAATGTTGAATCGATTTACTTATAATACGCGTTGAAATGAATCGATACAAAAAATCGTTAGATCGTATTCATTTGAATCGATCTTCATAAAAGTAGTAAGAAGTAGCAGTAGAGCTTATTTTGAAAGAGTTCGTCCAGGGAAGTACCTGTTTGCCACCTTACCTACTTCTGCCGCCAAGTTTTAATGTGAGCAGTACTGCGTTCGTGTTTGGAAGGGTAAGGGTGCTGGTGAAATTACAAGCACATGGGACTTGTCAACTTACCTATGGCTCAGGATGACGAGTGCAGTGGCAGTGCTCCTCAGATCTTTGCGATTTAAAGCCCTGTGTGGCACTGCACCTGTTATGGGCAGACGTGTCGCTTTCCATCAGGCGCACGACTCGTTCGTTCCGTCACTTAGTGTAATAAAACAAAAATCGAATCGTAATGTGCATCACTAGGTGAGATATTTTGTCGTGGCGAGTCGTTGGTTTTTGTTTTCTCTACCTAATTTCGGTGGCTATTTTTATTATTTAAATATTCGAATATATATTTCAGTATATAAAGCATATTAAATACCCTCATGAGGTTTGTCTCAGAGTCTGGACTTTTTAAGGCAATAGAATAAGTTGAAGCTTTTATTTCTCTTCGCGTAAATCAGTAAACGTAATATCACTTATTAATACAAAGAAAAAATTCCTTCGATCCGGCCGAATTCGAACCGAAGTCTTCTAGCATACTGTGCCAGACGCTATACCAATTAAGCCACGGAGCGAACCAGCGAACCTCACAAATTGTTCTAGTGCTTGTTCTCGTGTCTTTCTGTTTGGTTTTTCAACGACTTTTTAGTCGTAGCTCCATCTATGAGAAATCTATGAAAGTTTTATCGCCCAGTTACCTTTAACAGCTACCAGCACTGGCGAGAGATGTCGCTATTCACATATTAAGTATTTCACAAATTATTAATTTGTTACAAAGCAAAACATAACCTTTTAACAAATTACAATCTAGCCATTTTACAAGACTAAAAAGCAATTTTAATTGTACATAATTTCTTAAGAGGGAGCATGCCAAAAAAGTTTTGACGTTGGCTCCACCCAAATTTGTGAAACAAATATATAATTAAATTATAGAAGTTCGCGTGACATGCGACAGGAGATGTTGAATTTTGCGCATTAAAAGTACCAAATTCGTTTTAGCAGAATAACTCTAAAACTAAAGAGATTAAAAAGAAATCCGTAGTGACAGTTGTCGATCATGCATAAATATCTAATGTTTGTCATAATAACCTGTAGCATTTCGAGGATAAATCTAAAAAAAGTTTGAAAATAAGAGGTCAATTCGTGATTTTTATCTATCGAGGAAACTTTATTGTTTTATGTTTCTGATTAATGTCTATGCTTGAATATATCGTGTAGTTACTCATACAATATTTTATTTTTAACTTTAAAGTGGATATACCCCTCTAAAATCAAATCGTAGATTAGGAATTTTTCCTCTGCTCCCTCTTAAGATAAAAGTAACATATAAAGAAATTTCTATCGACAAAATATCTTTTAATATTAGTTAAAGGAAAGACACTTTGTTTGTGTGTTCATAGTCTAGTTAGCACTGGCACTAACCTTTTTTTATTCACTATAATTAACTACACTAACACAAAAGGTTTAGTTCTTTGTAGTCTACGCACTTTATTTGTATTGTGTAGTAGCTGTATAGCCTCTATGTTCACGTGATGATGAAGTCTATATTCGTGAGCTTCGGCGTACTTTATCATCACTTTATTTACAGGCTCTATATCCAAATCACGACGCATATCCTCATTTCGTATATACCAAGGAGCACCCACAATTGTCCTCGTATTTTATTTTGGAAGCGTTGTGTTGTCTGTATGTTGCTTTTACAGCACAGCCCCAGAGCTGGGTACCATAGGTCCACACTGGCATAAGGACCTGTTTATACAATAATATTTTATTGTATACAGATAGTGAAGGACATTTGCCAAATAGCCAATACGTTTTCTTTAAACGTATGTCTAATTCTTCTTTTTTCTTCTTGATGTGAGCTTTCCACCGTAGCTTCTATTATATCTATTAAATAATTGAATATCAATTTAATAAATAAATATAATAAAACTTGTTTATTGTAGGCTGTACCTATTTATTATAATTGGATAATTCAAAAAGAATTTCACAAAATTTATTTTTAGTTTTATAAATGATCTTAGACATTTGTTGTAATATGTAAAGACATACTAAAATTCAATTTCATTCTTGTTTCCTTACTATACGTCCTTCTGCTGGTCACGGGTCTCCTTTCAGGCAAGGGTTTAGGCCACGGTCTGCCACGCTGGCCCCATGCGGGTTGGGGACTTTATACGTTTTACGAAGGTTTAAGAAGTGAAGGTACGATGTTTTCCTTCACCGAAAAGCTCAAGGTGGATTTTAAATTTAAGCAGATTCAGGACAATAAAATGATGACGTTGGTATGTAGATAATAACGATTTACATTGAACGTTTTTAGGTAAAGCTAGTTAGCGCCAATTACAGTTGGCCACATTAATTTTCAAATATCTAACTTATGGTAAAAGTAAGGTAAAAGTTAACACCTCAAAAACAAAAAAAAAACACAAAAGTATCTACAATAATGAGCGTAACAAAAAAGGTAAAGCGACGTGAAGAGTGCAATCCTGACCTACAAAAAAGCGTGCACTAAAAAAGTTATTAATTATAAAATCTCGAAACAAGAAAAATAAATCAATTCTGTAAGGGGTACACCGCACTATATTCAAATTTAAATTTCAGTTTAATTAATTTCAATATTTTCAAATAAGACAGAATAGAATAGAATAGAAACCATTTATTGTAACGCCACAATATATAAAAAAAAAACACAAAACAAAGACTAATACAACTAGAACTAGAAAATTTCACACATGCTTTTTTAATTATAGCAAACGACAGGCGCTAAGCGACACCCCTGTCCATAGAAGTTGCGGTGCTAATCAGAGCTTTAAATCGCAAAAATCTGAGAACCAGTGCCACGCCACTACGCCAGCCACCCTGAAACAAGTTGACAAGTCCCATGTGCCTGTAATTTCACCAGCACCCTTACCCTTCTAAGCCGGAACTCTTTTCTGGAACTTCGTTAATGTAATTAGATTTATAGTAATTAGGTAAAAACGAATTGTAATGCATTGTAGGTTAAGGTGGGAAGCTAAGTAAAGTGCTAAAATCTTGTAAAGATTGTAAGCAAAACTTTTTTACTTTTATATAGAAATAAACCATTGTAAAGGAGTGAGGTTCTTTCGTCCGTTGGTTATATAAGGTTACCAAAACAAGCCAAATGAAACTCCAAATGGTTCAGATGATTTTTATTTTCACCTTGTATGTCGCCAATACAATTTCACCCTATATGCGGAAGGTCGGGGCAGTTGTTCCCAGAAGGGACTCAAGTCCTGGAAAGGAAACCGTTCCGCGAGATGAGGTTTTTCACCCTATATGAGCGTACGAAATATCAGAAGATCCGGGTAGCAGTTCCCAAAAAGGGACTCTACTCCTGATTGCCTTACTGAGCTCTCTGTATTCTCAGATTTCTCTTCACATTAACAAAATTGTGTTCAAGTAGTCACCATTCGAGGGAAAATCTTAACACCGCGATTCAGAAATAACGTCAATGGATCAATGCCATCTAGCGGATTCGTAGAGAACTAAAAGTGAACAATCTAGCTTAAGACCGTCTATTACATAAAGTAGGTTTGTTACACCGTTTAAAATTTTTAAATCTGTTAATATTTTTATCAGTTACTATGAATTAAATATTTAGCTAGTAAAATACGGTCTCAATATCGTTTGCTCTAAAGTAGAACCTCGTGATTTGGTACAAAATGGAAGTTGAAAGATCGTGACGTCGTCGTGGCTAGAATGTGCTGACGATCACGGTGCGACATAGATACATTTCCGTATCGCACTACTTCGGTCACTTCTTAGTAATCTTTGTCTCGGTTACTTATTATCACAGAATAAAAGACAGCAGAAGTAAAGCTTTTGTCCTACAAATATTTAGCATATGAACTTCCGTGATAAAGAACAAAAAATTATTATGACCATGCGCAATAGTATGAATGGAGATGGTAATAGTTTCGCTTTTATTAGACAATACGTTGAAATATACAGGTAAGGTACAATAATATAAACTAAAATTAATATTAAATTATATGAATAGAATTGTGACGTTCTCATTGAAAAAAAAAACCGACCTCAAAAGTATCGCATTTATTTATTTATTGTAAGTCAATCATTGACTTACAAATAAATGGACGACGGGT